AAGTCTGATGGCACAGGATATTCTGCAACGCGTAGAGGAGTGGAGAATTCTTCTTGTGAAATATTTCTGGGCGTTCTCAACTGTATTAATATCAGATACGTAATGCGGGTTCCAGACTGATGAGCTGTATTCGAGTATTGGTCTAGCAAATGTTTTGTATGCTCTAGTTAGTAGTGTGATATTACCAGAGAAAAAGCTACGTAGGATTAGGTTAACAACTTTTAATGTTCTTAATGTTTTAGTTCCTACGGATGGCTGCCCAATCTCTGCTTGAACCATCCAGCTTTATTGTTGTTAGTCGCAAAGTCATGTCCGACCCATCACAACCCCATGGACAATGTTCCCCCAGGCCTTCTACCATCCTCCAGAATCCATGGAAGCTCACAGCAACTGCTTCTGGGACTCCCTCCAGCCACCTCCTTCTCTGCCATTCCCTTCTCCTTCTCCTTTTCTCTCCCTCATTCCCAGCAGAGGGCACTTTCCAGTTGTTCTCAAATGTTTCGGAAAATGCGGCCCTCAAGAAATTGGCCCTCACACTCGAACTGGATTTGTTAAACAGGGAAAAATGAACAGGAACGGTTGCTTCCCACGGTTTGGAAACCGAGCTGACTCTTGTTTCGGCCGTCACTTTTCATGGCTGACTCACGTTCAGCATTATCATCAACCAGAACTGGAAGCTTCGGCTGTTTGAAAGCTCAATCAAGGGTGTCGAGAAAATGTCAAACGTTCATTTCAAAGCAATTTGAATGACGTTGAAACGAGCTGCTTTGATTCGCAGCTCGTCTTGGGAGAAAAATAAAACCCACCACGGCCATTTCTGCCCGAGATCTTACTAGTCATTTCCAAAGCTGATTATAAATTTCCACCACCTACCTCAGAAACCCCATTTTACTCCTTGATGACTCTCCTGCAATGCAGATGCTTACCAACATCTGGGAACAGCTGGGGTGCAAGAATAAGATGATTCTGTGCCCCCAAAACACACGTTCCTTGGTTTGCAAACTTTGCCTTACAGGTTCAGTTGAGATCAGGGCAAGTTCAGCTGCAACTACTCAGTGGTCCTTGACTTACGACCACAATTGAGCCCCAAATCTTCGTTGGAAGTCTGAGTGAGCTAGGTACAACAGACCAGACCCTTATCTGTGGTTCCCTGAAGTATCAGGCAGGCACTAGTCAGAAACGGAGACCCAGAATAAATGCAGCTGCTTGATTTCATCGACAAACCCAGCACACCAAGTTAGACAAAGTTGTGTATTTACAGTGGACAGATGGTTATGGTAATCCCCAAGGTGCTGAAGTCAGAACTGAAGAAGCTTCTTGGATGAGAAGCAAAAGGTTTTCAAGGGAAAAAAACAACAACAAGAAAAGTCCAATTGAACCTGTGGGACAAGCAAATGATGACTGAGAATCTCCATAGACATCGTGATTGTAAGACAGTCGTTTCAACAGGTAGTATACCTGAAGAAGAAGAGGAGGAAAAATCTGGGTCTTTCATACCTGAACCCTGAGATATCAGGTTGGTCACTGCTGAAACAGCTAGTCCGTACCTATGGCAGGGTAGTCTTCTTTTTCTGTGTTCTTCTCAGTCAGGCACCTGCTCATATGCTTGGAAGCAAATCCCCCGAAACTCAATGCAATACAAATATACGTGTCACATCCATCCAACCCACTAGAGTGGGAAGGCAAAGAATGTTGCGGGGTCCCATCCTCAAAGGAGATAACACTGGTGGGACACAGAAGGACCTTCTCCGCAGCTAGTGAAGCTGGCAGCAGAGTCGGGCAGTAAGAAGGTTGGGGAGGAAGCTGGGCCAGTCCTGGAGGCTGAGGACGGCTCGGACGAGGGCTCTGCATCAGAGGCAGAGATGGGGCCAGGGCAGGCTGGCAATCATGAACTGCCTTCGGGCTGACAGCAGTGAGGTGGAGGAGTAGCTGGAGCTGGTTCCCAGCCTGCACATAGCTGCCAAAAGAATAATTACAAACTAAGAATCGACGTGGGAGTAAGGCCACAGGTGGTCGGTGAATGGTCCCTCCCACCAGGATTAAAAGAGGAGTAAAAGTGGAGGGGGCTTTTGCAGGAAACTTTTCCATTGCAGCAGTGTGAACATCTGTTTGTGCATCTCAAGAGACGCGGTGCCGAGCCCTTCCTTGTCGGCACTGCGTTTGGAAATATTTACTCGGCCGCTCTCCAAGCTAGATAAGGCCCCTGCTTCTAATTACACCCTTGAAAGACTGTTTGCCAGGCCTTTGGCTGAATGTGAACGCAAGGAATTCACCTTCATTTAATAAAAGGGTTTTGCCGGGACAAAGAGTCTGCTCGGTGCTTTTGGGGGAAGCCTGGGTCAGAACACCTCCCTCAGGAACATCATCCCTCCAGAAATTAGCTCATCTTTTGGAAGGCCCTGAAGTTGTAGTTCTGCCAGTGAGCCTGGAGAACCCAGAGCTGGATGGAGCCCATTAAGTGGCTGATATGACAGCGTGTTGTTACTGGGTAATGTGTAATATTTTTATGGATCAAGGTTTAGCTACTGATATGGAATCCAGGGGTCAACTGTTTTGAGACTTAAGAGTTTATTTTCAGGAGGAGAGTGTAAATTGGGAATATGAAGTGATTGAGAAAAAAAATAAAACACTTCTAGCAATGTACAAAATGTGTTATCTTTTTAAGAGAAAAGCATAGAGCTTTTACATTTAGCTGAAGGCAGACAGAAAGGAAATTAATTCCAAACTGTCTGGGAGCCAAAACCCCTTTTCAGTTCTTGAGTAAAATATCATTATTTCACAAAGTATTTTTAGAGAGTCAGCGACAGTCAGTTCAAATGTTCTTAACACTTACCATGGATTCAAATTTCCTAAATTGGTAATCACAGTTATCGAGTTTCTTTACGAGTAGGGCTTCCCATTGACTTCTGCCCAAAAAAACGCCCCAAAAAAGAAATGGCTTTATATTAGAAAGAATATGGCACAGTTACAAGCTGAAAAGGGTGTCATTTTATTCCAGAAATACCATGAAGTGCTGGGAAGGAGGGAGGGAAACATATTTCTACATTTGTAACTCTCCTAAAAATAATTAGTGCATTTTATGTTCAAAACTACATACGGTACTGATGGGCTGTACAAATTCTGCTTTTTTTTATATCTTCAAAATGCTGGAAGGTAGATAGGTATGATATAGATGACAAAGAGAGAGAGAGAGAAAAAGAGAAAGAGAGAGAAAGAGACAGAGGGGAAAAAAGAGAGAGAATGAGGACACATGGAATGAGAAGGAAATATAGGGACTGTAGGTAGATGGATGGATGATGTAGATGAATAGATTAGATAGAGGATATAGATGACAAAAACAGATAGATAAGAGATGATAGATGATATATAGATAGATAGAAAGATAGATAGATAAAGAGAGGGAGAAAGATGGATTTATATAGCACCATTCAGATGAAGGAGAAATTCTAAGCGCTTGAGGAAAAAGTAATAATAGAAATTTAGGAAAGAAGGAGAGTGGCAGGCATGCATCAGACCCACAACAATCCAGAGGGGGAAATGAAACCACTTCTGATCAAGATTATCCGACCAGGGATAACAGAGACCCGCAGCCAGCTGCAGGCTGGAGGAGGGTGCAGTCTGAGGCAGCTTCGCGGCTCCTTTTTTCAGCTGCCCCGTCGACGAGAGAGACCGCGTATTGCTAAACGGTGGACTGTGTATTGCTAAGGCCCCTCCAAAACGCACGAGAGGGCTGGGCTGCGTGAATTGCATAGGTTAGCCCTCCCTGTTTGGCTTTAAAGGAACTGCGAAGGAAGGGTGGTCTTCGCGGCCCCTCTCGAGGCTTCTGCGTCGTCGGATCTCGCAGGACGATTCTGACAACGGCCCTGCGCCCGGGAGTCGGCACAGGCTCACGTCTCCAGGGAGGTCATCCTGGTTGGCGGCTGCTGTTGCGAGAGAGAATTACGTCAGTCTGGCAGGCAACCCACCAGTGGATTCGGCTCCCCACCGCCGCGATCCAAAGATCTACAGGTAGTCCTCGATTTTACGGCTGTTTGCTTAGCGACTGTTCAAAATTACGCTGGATCTCCCAAAAGGGATTTACGTCCTCCCGGTTTTGTGCCTGCATTTCGGGTGGTGGGCAATCATTTGCGGTGTCCTGACTGCAAATAACTATGTATTTGCCAAAAGCAAACATGCCGAAGCATGTTACTTCTGGTTTTCGGCAAAAACGCCCCATCGTGTACAAATGGCCTCGTTTAACAGCCATGGTGATTTGCTTAATGGCCACAGCACACAAAACAAAGCGTAAAAATTGGGTTGGTTGTGGGACGACCTGCTTTATGACTGACCCTGAAGCTGACCTGACCGAAGCCATTTTGAAGACATTTCAGTGTTGCCACACCGGAGCTGAGGGATAGGGAGGGGAGGAATAGATAGCTGGGGCTTTGTAGTCGAAACAAAATACTTTATCCTGGGAATCAAGGTCATTCTCATACCTGGTCAGAGAGAGAGAGAGAGAGAGAGAGAGCGGAGTGGACCATGTGACTAGGGAAGAGGAAAAACGTACTTTCACTTAGGTGAAAACCGTGGGAACTTTTAGAGTCGGTTTTCACCAGATCTGTGCCAATTTGATGTATCTAGTAAAACTCTACCTTGAGGAATCTACCTGCCTCGGAGTTTCGCTTGCTATGGGTATATTATGTGGAAACCTGATATTAGGATCCAATTCGAGTCGGTCACCAGAACCAAAGGTTTATTCTTCCAAGTTTTGGGTCTCGTATTGGAGCACCTATGACCATTGCCAGTCGAGGACTACCTGTACACATGTCGAAGGGCGCACACGTGTTCCTAGAGCGACGGTCTAACTCGAACCTCTGAGCTGTTGCGCCCTGTAGGTTAGCACTAAATTTCACAGGGAAATGCGCTTGCCGAAGTGCGTGAAAACACAGCATGCAAATGAAGGGGTGATCCTGGAAAATAACAATTTCACCGCTACGAAACAGCCACGTTCAGGACCTTAAGACCGGAGAAGCTTATCATTTTATCCTTGACAATGCGATAATTAAAAGCTTGCCTCCTCCAGCCAATGTCAGCAGCGCTCTGCCCAGACACCCCAATTCAGAAATTACACGTTCCACAGCCTTGAAATATATTATTTACAACAACTGATGAAAGCGTGATCAGTTCTTTCTGCCAGACAGCTTTTGCAAATCAACCAGCTTCCCAGATCTTTTCCCTGAGAAAAGGACAGTTTAGACAATTGATGGCCACATCCTTCGGTGCTTTCTTTGCCTCCCAGAGTGGTGCTTCTTTTATACTTTTTCTTTCTTTTTTAATGGAGTGAGCAATGAGCGAACAAGCAGAACAAAAAAGGTGAATAATGCTCACCTCCGGATTCATCACCCATGTGGCCCGGTGTCTTGTGGGATGGAATGCGAGTCCGAGAAACCTGCAGGAAAACGACATCCACCCAGGGCAGGTTTTATTTTTTTAAATTCGAGTCGTTGGCCTGAAGCAGTGGAGAGAAATCCTGATGGGGTTTCTAGGAGACCTTTTGAGTAAGGAAGCATCGACGTCCTTCCTTAAGGTTTTGGCACCTCGCTGTTGGCTGAAGTTGCACTGAGACAGATGTTGGGTTAGTTCCAGAAAATTCTACCTGGAAATTATTCACTGCCTTCCATTTGCAGGTCACTCGACTTTTCCAGAATGAGAACTTTTTTTTAAGTCTCAGAAGTTCTTCATTTGAGGGAGGAGGAGGTTTCTAAACTTTGCTCCACCCACACGGTTTTGACAAGTGTCAGCACAACGCAATCGAGGGGTTACGTAACACGAAGTTTCACTACTAGCCAGCAAAGTGCAGTTCCTCAGACCAGCAGTTCCTCCCCGTGATGAAATTCCCCACCACCACCACCACTGTACAAAGTTTCTTCTGTCCTTGCAAAGAGGAAGAGGATGGAAAGGGGGGGAAAATAAATAAATAAAATAAGTCTCATTCGCAGCTCTCTTCCGTTTTCTGGCCAGCTAAACGCGTGAGCGCCATATCCTCAGGGTATCGGATTGCCAGCTCTGGGTTGGCCACGTAGTACGTGTCGGCAAACTCCTCAAAGTAGCGACCAATGTCTGGGTGAGGGATCTCGTGAGGTTCTGGGTTGAGTTCCAGATTCTCTGCAAAAGGAAGGGAAAAGTGAGAGACTGCACAAAGGGTGGGAGTGTCATGGATAGGAGCTTAAGAGAGAAGCAACCAAGAGGGAGAGGGAGGGGGCTCTTTGGGCAGCTTAACTCAATGGGGGAGCCAGATTCGCTTAATGACCATGTTACTACCCTGTTTTCCCAAAAATACGACCTGCCCTGAAAGTAAGGCCTAGCTTGATTTTGACACGTGCGCCCAATATAAGCCCTACCCACCAAAATAAGCCCTAATTAAGATCCCGTCCACTCCAGGATGCACAGGTAAAAATTAAGATAGGGTGGGGATGGTGTGTGTGTGTGTGTGTATGAGAGAGAGAGAGAGAGAGAGAGAGAGAGAGAGAGAGAGAGAGAGAGAGAGATCACTAACTGCAGTGATTCACTTAACAATCGTGGCAAGAAAGATCACAAAACAGAGCAAAACTCCCTTAATAAGTGTTCCACTTAGCAATCTGGGGCTCAATTGTGATCATAAGTCGAGGACTGCCACTATATCAAATTCACCTTTCTGAAATCTATGCAATTCCTGTTTTTTTTTTGACCTTGCCAAGCTGGGTGGGACTTAATATCTATGGTTTTCCAGGAAGAAAGTTTCTGCTCGCTGCTCTCCATCAACTTGAGTTATTTGAAACGAAGGTGCTGAATAAAAGCCAAGGCTGCTGAAATCTCCTTTTTCTTGCAAAATTACGTTTTGTTTGCACTTGCATTTATGATGCCCATTTTATAGAAAGGCTGCTGCGTTTTTTTCCTTCTTGTAGGAAAGAACAATTTTAGGACAGGGCAATTCTGAGGGGAACAGGGGGAAAAAGAATATGGCTGCGCGCACGTGTCCTGAAAGATTGCACAGTCACACGTTTCAGTGGCTGCCACGCGTTCTTCTCTCATGCCCTGTTTCTATGCCGTGGTTATCCTATTTTAACTTTGATGATGAGGCCTTTATGCTCTTGTGTGTTTTGATGAGATTCCTGGATGTAATTTCCCTGGAGGTGGAGATTTTTTTTATATCCCTATAACCGAAGTTGAGTTGTAGACCAAGTTTAGATTATTGGGGCAAGAGGACGCCGAAGGGAAGAAAGGCAGATAGGAGGAAAAACTTATTAGCAATCACAACCTGCAGTTGTACAGAGTGCCATCTGCTGGGGAGAACTGATTTATTCTAAGCCTAAAATAGCTAAATAAGGATAAAGATCAACGTAACTAAAAATAACAGGAACTTTGCAGGTTGGTTTTCCTTCTTATGCTATTCTTATCCTGGAAGACGCAATGACCATTGTGAAAGAGGGATAAGCCCCACACGTGTTCTGCAGGAACACACAACCGCTACGAACACTTGTTCTGCAGGAAAGCTGTCTTGGGCTGAATTTCCATTTCAACCAGCACTGGGGACACCGGTTGATTGGGAGTCACTGGAAGTTTTCCCCAGCACTATCAAGAAGCAGCAGAGACTGAATGGGACATGGATCTACTATTAGCTGCAAAAAGATCCCATCAATGGTCCTGCAGACCGATGGATTTGGAATCACCCAAAATCCTGCTGTTGAAATGATACGAGGGGTCCTTGGTGCTCTCTGAGCTTGGTTGTTTTCTCGCAGATGTTTCATTACCTAACTAGATAACATCATCAGTGCTAGAAGGGAGTGGGGTGTGTGGAGAGGAGGAGGAAAGGAGGAAGAGGAACAATGACTGTGAGGTCCTTGTTGTTCTGAGCTCCTTTTCTTGCAGACGTTTCCTTTTCCAAACTAAGCAACGTTATCAGTGCACAACCAACCAAGCCCAGAGAACATGAAGGGTTCTCCCCTCATTTCAAACCTTGAGTATGAATATTCTTCTTTATTCAAATGACATGAAACTGGAGACCCCAAGAATGGTCTGGGCTGTGGAATGACAGTGCAACTCTTCGCTTCTGGGCCTGAGATCAAACACCTTAATATTTAAGGGTCTACCTTTTGTATGATGGCCATTTTACCTCAAGAGCAAAACACATCCTTGAAGCCTCAAGTTTGCCAGCCTGATTTGCTGAGCAGGCAAATGTGGCAACAGCCACTTTCTTTGTCTCTCACTCTGTGAAGAAGTGACAGCTCTACCCTATTAATTCTGAGCGTGACTTATTGAAAAGGGAAACTTTATATGAATTAACTATCCTGCACTGGGCTGTTTTCTTTCAATATTCAATCTTTCTTTCTTTCTTTCTTTCTTTCTTTCTTTCTTTCTTTCTTTCTTTCTTTCTTTCTTTCTTTCTTTCTTTCTTTCTTTCTTTCCTCCCTCCCTCTCTTATGTTTCCTTCCTTCCTTCCTTCCTTTATTCCAATTTTGTTTCCTTTCAAGTGGTGGATAAGCAAACCATAAACAAGCTTGCTGGAAATACCGCTGGCCTACCTTGGGCGGCATATCTGCACGAGCCATCTTCCACTAAAACATTGTAGAAAGGCTGGTGAGGCCCATGGGGCAGGCTGTGGACATTCATGTTTCGGATCCATTCATGTCCCATCATGCACGCTGGGTCCCAACCGTAGATCACGCAGTTGTAGCCATATCTAAATTCAAGCAGAAAGAGGGTACACAACGCCATCAATGGCTGGAGGCAGGCTGAGAGATTCTCTATCGAGAACAAGGACAGACACTTCGGAATATCTTCGTAAGCGATGTCTGCTTGGACGGAAACTCTTTGGCATGTTGGAAGGGTGGTGGGGAGGAAGAGGAGGACTGTGGGGTCCTTGGTGCTCTCTGAGCTTATTTTCTTGCAGACGTTTCATGACACAAACTAGGTAACATCATCAGTGCTAGAAGGGAGTGGGGTTTGTGGAGAGTGGTGGTAGTGCTGGAGGAGAAGGATTGTGGGGTCCTTTGGTGCTCTCTGAGCTTGTTTTCTTGCAGACGTTTCATGACGCAAACTAGGTTAATATCATCATCATCAGTGCTGATGATGTAACTGATGATATTAGCTAGTCTGGGCCATGAACCATCTTCAGGAACAAAAGCCAGCCCAGGGAGCCACAAGGACCCCTCATGTCCACACTAAGCTACAAATATTCTCCTTTACTGTAGACATATAAGCTCACAACCTCATTCATGACTGACGGAAGGTTCACCCACGTGCCGCAACTTAGAACAATTTATGTTCTCCTCTTGTTGCTAACAGTGGGAAGCATCTCTCCTACAACCACATTTAGTACATATTTCTTCACTGATGATGTCCTTTCTGGAGCTGTTACTTGTCAGCAGCTTCATCTAGCAGTTAAGAGTTTGTTTGTTTTGCTTGGCTGACGAGAGAGGGCGGAAGTCAGGAAGCAGAGTTTGTTCTGAGCCAGAACTTTCCCCTCTTGATATTCCCCTCTTAAAAAGTGTGGCATTGCAAAGACAGCGTTCACCAATATGTCCCTTAGTTCCCACCAAGTTCTCTGATTACTTAACTATATTTTACTTAACTATATTTACTTAACTATATTTTTTGCGCCTTTATCTTCAGAAGACTTTCGCGTGAGGCTAGATTTCAGAAATCAGACTCTAAGCAAACAAGGGATGGAAAAGGCTGCAGGTCAGAGCTGCATGGAAGCCTGCCCAGTTGCTGGGGGTAGAGAGAAGGATAAAAATAAACTGGGGTGATGGAGGAGGTCCTGGGAGATTAAGAAACAGGGACAAGCAACTATCTCAAAAGCTTGTCTCCTAAGAAATGTTGGTTGGGAGACGATGGAGAGAGAGAGAGAGAGGAGAGAGGGAAAGAAGGAGAAACAGAAGAAAGAGAGAAAGGAGTAGGAAAAAAAGAGGAACGAGAGACAGAGAGATAGAAGGAAAGAGAATGAAAAATAAAGAAATAAAGGAGAGTGAGAAAGAGGGAGAGAAAGAGAAAAAAAGAGGGAGAGAAAGAGAGAGAGAGAAGAAAGAGATAACAGAGCAGGAGAGAGAAAGAAAGACAGGAGAGAGAGAGGAGGGGGAAAGAAACAGAAGAAAGACAAAGGAGAAAAAGAAAAACAAGACAGAGATAGAAGGAAAGAGAATGAGAAACAGAGAAATAAAGGAGAGCGAGAAAGAGGGAGAGAAAGAGAAAGAGAAAGAAACGAGAAAGAGATAGAAGGAAAGAGAAAGAGAGAAACAAAGGAGAAAGAGAGTGAAAGAAAGAGGGAGAGAAAGAGAGAAGAAAAAGATAAGAGAGCAGGAGAGAAAGAGACAGGAGAGAGAGAGAGAGAGAAAGGCAGACAGATAAGATAATCTATTTAGAAACTCATTATTCTTGTTTCATTTCTTCTACTTATTACTCTAATAAGAATAAAATAACGGTCTCACTTGGTCATGCGTTTTCCTGAACTGGTCTACCTTAGAAGGCTGACAAAATCACACCTCTCTTGCACTGCTGCTGTTGTTGTTTTTGGTTCTACGGATGTTGACTCCTACTTCTGCAGCTACAGAATCCTGGTGGGACGGGACGGGCAGGCAGGCAGGCCGGCCTGGCTCACCTTTTGTGCTTCATCACCAGGCCGATGGAAAAGACGACGTCCTTGTGTTTCTCGTCGGAATGAAGCTTCACCTCCGGGCCAGCCTCATCTTTCCGACGCTCGATGTGTTCCAGGGTGTGCTGGACTAGGTAGCCCACGGCTCCTTGCTGGGAGGGGTCCAAGGCCTGGATGTGCTGCAAGATGTCCAGAACCTTTTAAGAGAGGGAAACGGCTCCCAATCAATCCACCATCATCTTACAACTCCACATTTAGAAAATCCAATCTTAGGATATTTATTTCAGCCTTTTCATGAGTTTAGCGTAGGGAGACCTAATTCTCGACTTACCACGACGGTGACCGAGCCCAGAATGACAACCGTTAAGTCACGCCGGTCGTTGAAATAGGTTACCGCGCGACTGACTCAATTTTATAAAAAAAAAAAACCATGAAGCAAATCACCGTGGTCATTAAGCAAATTTGCAATCGGTAAGCGAACCCATGGGTGGATTTTTTTTTTTTTTTGCATAAACCAGAAATAAATGCTGATTTGTGGCAAAAAAATAAAAAATAAAAAAACCATAAATTGCACTGCAAAAAAAACATAAATGCAGGCACTCACAATGCAGTCAGGAGACAGGCAGAGAGAGAGGGAGAGAGGGAGAGAGGGGGAGGGAGAAAGAGAGAGAGAGAGAGGAAGAGGAAGAGGATTTAATAGGATAGTGCTTGCCAACAATGTTTTTAAGGTTTATAGGAGTTTGGCCAATCAACAATACAAAGTGGCCGAGTTTAATGTGCTCCAATTTTTCAAAAGGGAAGAGAATGGAGAAGGAGAAACAACCAAGCTCTTTAGGAGAAGCAACATCCATCCACCACCACCCCATCATCTTTTTTCAATCCCTTGTGGGTGGAGTCTGGGCAATTGAATGGAGCTAGCAGAGTGTTTTATTGGCGGGATGCCCTCCCTGTCGCCAATGCGGAGTTTTGTTCAGCAGGTAAATTCCCAGTGTGCCCAGAGAGAGAAATATATCTGTCTCTACCTAGGATCAAACTCACAGCCTCCTGATTGTGAGGTGAGAACTCCCCCTCTAGGCAGGGGTGGGATTCAAATTTTTTAACAATTGGTTCTGTGGGCGTGGCTTGGGAGGTGGGCGTGGCTTGGTGGTCATGTGACTGGTGGAGATGGCTTGGTGTTAATGTTATTGGCTCGGCGTGGCCAATTCAACATCACTCACATCAAGGCACGCATCTCCTCGCCTGGCCTCTCATGACTGTGGGGATGCTGCAATAGTCGTAAGTGTGAAAAACGGTCATAAGTCCCTTTTTTCAGTGCCACTGTAACTTTGAATGGTCACTCCACACAAGCAAAAGTACCAGCAAAGGAGGGGGAAAAAACTCCAGAGAAATTCCTGAGACCGGAAGTCTAGTCCTGCCAAGAATGTAATAAGAGTTAACGGAGAGGCAGTTTCTGTAAGCAACACCAGAATGTTTCCTTCCTGCCTTCCTTTACAGGATTAGGCCCGTAATTTCTTCTAACAACCGGTTCTCCGAACTGCTTGGAATGTTAACAACCGGTTCTAGCGGATAGGGGCGAACCGGTAGAATCCCACCCCTGCCTCTAGGCCACCGCACCGCTCCAAGCAACATCCATCCACCCCTTTGATTATTTCATGCATCGGATGCCTCACCTACATAGCACGAATCAAAAGTACCTTTTCTGGCCAGATCCCGAGGTGAAAATAGAGTCTCGCTTGGAGCATTAGATGCTGGACATTGTCCGGATACATGGCCAAATACAAGTCCAAAGAGTCTCTCAGGAGTGGGTATGACTGGTCAGTGCTTTCCCTAGCAAACAGGATACCAACAGGTTCAAATCAAAGTCATGTTTTCATAGATACATTTACCACTACCTAGCTGTGATGTCCCAATGCCAACTACAATGTTAGCTGACCTTTAGCTGACCTTCTGGTCAGCTGACCCTTAGCTGACCAGTCACCAACCCAGACGTTGCATCAAATGCATAATTAATGTTGTTGCTTATACGTTGCCGCTGGTCAAGAGCTATGATGCACCTAGTCCTTTCTTTCATCCTCAAGCAACTGCTATAGTTTTGAAGTTTCTTTCAACGGTTAGCTCAAATGTTGCTGCCTTTTTAAACCACCCTTCTGTGTTCTCTAACAATAACAGAATAACACAGCTGGAAGGGACCTTGGTGGTCTTCTAGTGCAACCCTCTGCTCATTGGAAGCTTTCAAGAAGAGACTTGGACAGACAATCGTCCACCTTATACTATTGCTGACAAATGGCTATCCAGACTCTTCTTAAAAGCTTACAGTAGTGGAGCACCACAACTTCTCCATGGTCAGTGAGAACTTGGACCTCCATAATCAATGGGGACTTGAACTTCCATAGTTAATAAGAATGTGGACCTCCATGGTCAATGGGGACCTGGAACTCCACGGTCAATGAAGACTTGGATCTCCATAGTTAATGAGAATCTGGACCTCCATGGTCAATGGGGACTTGGACCTCCACTGTCAATGAGGACTTGGATCTCCACAGTTAATGAGAATCTGGACCTCCATGGTCAATGGGGACTTGGACCTCCATGGTCAATGGGG